ACTATATTCTGAATGAAAGATCAAAAAGAATAGTTAGAGAATAGTTAAGAATATTTTTTGCAGCTCATTTTGCTCATGATTGTCAGGGGTGCCAATATTTGTTGAGGGCACTGTATTTATATAAGTAATTTTCAGAGAAGTCCACGTGTATGATACTTTCATTCTCAGCCATGTTCCTCTTCAGTTCCCTGCATTGTCTGTACTGTTGTCTGACGTCGAATACGTGGCATTTGAATTTCCTGAGCAAGCCACTGAAGAGCTTGATGAGCTTCTTTTTCAGTGTCTTCTTGAAATTCCACAAGACTGCATGTCTTTGGACTGTGAGAGGAAACCCGGAGAACCCAGAGGAAACCCATGCAGACACAGAGAGAACATGTGAACAAAAAGGACACGGGTCACTTGACCAGGGAATGAAACCCAGGCATAACCAGAACAATTGAAATTAAATTCAAGACAGTTATTTTCCACACACACACAAGCTTTGCTCAAATGTCTTTCGGATCTCATGGTGGTGGATATTACAAGTTGAAGAAGTGGAATTAAACAAATGACATCCTGTAATTTTTGCCAGATCATGTCTTCTCTGGCAGGCCAGAAGAATTGGTTCTCTCCCACATGGTGCATTCATTTCACTTGAACCTGAACCTCATCAATGGTGGTGAAGATGCCTGGGTAGAGGTCTCTGTCATACTTTGACACATTACTTTTGAATGACTTCTGGAACCCATCCGATATCTTCTATCAGTGGGCTTGGTGTCCTGGTGCAACATCTCCCCAGGAGAGGTAGTGACAACCTGGTGTATTTCCATTGTTGATGGGACTCGAGGAATGCTGTCAGGAAGGTACTTCATTGCCCTGTGAATGGGCGCTTCATTTACATAGAATGGTTTAAAAGTGGTGCCTGAATGCACCAAACTAATCCATTGCATCATGAGTGTCATGGCTGTGGCTCACCAACCAATCTGCACTCCTCTTTAGAAAACTTTCAACCCCATCTGGCGCCCCTTTCCCATGGCAGGCCTCAAAGAAATTCCATGTCCCTGCCTGTAATCCTTGTTTTGGTGGAGTGAGGTAAATATGGATGTTCCTTTCTGGTGGTACTGTGTACAAGGTCCATCAGGAAATGGACCACTGTGACAGCAGGTAAGAAATTCTTGACATCTTGGCTCAGATGTTTCTACATATCAGAATCTGCCTGGATCTCTGTTCTGGCAACCCCCCAAACAACTTGTGTTTATATAGGTTTGATTGTGATTTAGGAGACACTGAGTCCAAGGCCAAACTAATTTCTGCAATTCCCCATCTGTGATCCTTGGAGATTTATTTGTCCACTTGAACCATCCCCTCCCACTGTGTGTGAGGTCAGTACAGACATATGTTCTGTTCCCAGCAGATTCTTAACATCTCCCGTTGTTTTAAGCATTTTAATTATGGACCTGATAGTGGAAATGGGCATTTTCAACTGTTTAGCTGTTTTCTTGTAGCTATTTCCTGATTTTGAGCAGATAAAACAACCTTTGGTCGCACATCATTGCTGTTTTCTCTGGTGTTTCTCATAGTCACGGATGACTGAGGGAAATTTGGCTTGTGTTTCATGTCCATATATTCCCCAGTGAAACAGGAAGTCATGGCTGACCATTTAAGTGTTCCTAATGGCTCAGGTGACCTTTAAAACATAAAATATGAATAGGACTATACTTCTGTTTGATTTTTAAAAATTTCTAGAGATGCCAATAATCATGAGACACACATTTAGCATTTTTTCAATCATTGTACCTTAACGGAAGATTAGATTTATTGCTAATATTCTGAATGAAATATAAAAAAAAATTAGTTAATATTTTTTGTGGCTCATTTTGTTCCTGATTATCAGGGGTGTCAATATTTGTTTAGGGCACTGTATTTGTATGTAATTTTCAGAGAAATCCACATGTATGACCATACATGGCCATAGAATTTTATGAGCATGCTGTTGCAGAGCTTGACGAGATGATCTAGTGTGATTTCAACCGTCTTTTGAAATGTCTTCTTGAAAGTTGTTTGTGTTGTCCTTTTGTATATTCTTTGCACATGCGATCTTTGTTGGTTTGGTTACAACAGATCTCTGACATCAACGTTTCCATTTCAGAGGTGTTGAACAACTTCATGCTGTAAAACTATTTTGAGCCAAAACCACCAGGTTCAGTAACTACTTGAACTATACACACTTTGTATTTTAATCTGATTTTGAACTGTCCTCATCTTACTCCAGACATGGACTGCACACAAATATATATATACACTGGACATACCCATTGTGCACATTTTGTACATTTTACATTTACTTTGCATTCCTGTCAATACATCAGTACACCTTTATGCCTTTTTTATGCCTCGAGTTTATTCTGTATTTATTGTCCATTTGTTGTCATGGGGTGTGTGTGTGTGTGTGTGTGTGTGTGTGTGTGTGTGTGTGTGTGTGTGTGTGTGTTTTTTTTACTTATTGTGTATATGTAATCTAGTACATGTGCACTTATGTCATTGTCTTAATGTGTATGCACCAGAGAAGTAGCCTGAATGTGTTTCGTTATACTGCACAGTTGAATTGAGATGAATTGAATAATCACCATTATGTATTTGGCATACGAAAAAATACACTGAGCTACAGAGTCAGCTGTCATAGTGTGCTTTGTCATTGCTACCCAGAAAGTGTGACAGTAGCCTATTATCAAGAAAAACCTGTATAACTTCACACAGGTCTTATGTCAACTTCACAATGAAAGTTGAAACTACTGCTGCTAACTGGAATAAGCCTTTATAAATGTTCATATAGGTTTATGTCAGGTGTCATGAAAGGCTTATGAAATTGTCATAGCCTTATTTATTTGGGCTACAGTAAAGTGTTTTCCATACTTTCAATTAAGTACATTTTATCTGTATTCTTTGCACTTCAGAAACGAAGTGACCACATTTGCTTTTCCATCAGAAAACAAGCAGCATCAGCAACATTGGCAGAAAAAAATGGTAACACCTTACTTGAAGGGTTTCCACATAACACGTTCATAACATCTTACCTAAACACTTCATAACATGTTCATGAATGTTTAAATCAACATTCATGAAGCATAAAATGTTTTATATGATATTAATATGGACTACTATGTCATTTTACTGAGTGACATTTTTCAAAATAAAACTTCTCATTTTTTATTTAAAAACTTATTTTCAGTAAAAGCCTCATTTCTGGACAGCCAGAATAAAACTGACTTTGCTGTACCTCTTTGGTCATTAATTGTACACCATCATGCTAAGATTCAGTTGAATGATTGTTCCTAAGCATTTTTAAGAGTAATTTACTGTCCATGCAGTAAAGTGAAATGCAAAGCAACAAACGCTTAAGAAAAATAGACAATTAAAAAGAAATCAAAAGTATAGGTGAAATGTGCCTGAGTGTCAAAGCACTTAATGACCAAAGGAACAAAGTGAGGTCATTTTTAGTTTGACTGTCCAGAAATGAGGCAATAATATACTATTTTTTCAAAAATAAAATGGAGAACTTTTTTTTTTGTTTGTTTTTTTTTTTGTTTTTTTTTTATTCTAAGTAAAATGACATAGTAGTCCATATTAATATGTAAAACATGTATACTTCATAAACATTGATTTAAACATTCATTACCATGTTATGGAGTGTTTTATGTAAGATGTTATGGAATGTGTTATGTAGACACCCTTCAAGTAAAATGCTACTAAAATAATTATATATTAATAAAAATGAGGGCAAGTCAACTTTTGTGTTACAATTTTCACACACGCTATGTTTTGCAATGTGATAACATCTGGCTACAGCCTATTCCTGAGAGCCATGCAGTCATCACTCTACCTGTTTCAACACTTCTGCTCTGTGGTGATACAAAACAATATGCAGAACGTACAAAAACACAACAGTGCAGCTCCCTTCAGTATAAAGCATGTGTCAGCTCACCATATGCACATTTGCCCCATGGAGATAGCAAATCAGAATTAGACAGTGGGAATGTACAAAGTAATAAAACACAGAAAACTAAAAGTAATAAAACACAGAAAACTAAAACACCTAAACCTGGCAATGATCACCCTAGGCTTGAGCACACTGGCACAGCAGGCAGACCCAAAGAAGATGACATGACTGAGATAAAAATCAGACAGTTGAGATGTGGGATGAGGGTGAACATCAGCCAAATCATCGCAGGCAAAAGCACACTGCCAAGTCAGCCTTGAAAAATGGTTATGGTCAATTTAAAGTTTTCACTGTGTCAACTCAATGCATTTAATTAATGGGTTTACAGGTTTAGTAGTAAAAGAGCATTATAAGTACAAAGTTTGCAGAAAACTGATAGCAGTGACATATTTTACTTTTGCTTTCAGCTTTGCACGGGAAGAAATTGACACATTTGACGGGACTTCATCTCATTTTTAAACGTCCCCAGTTACATCTTTTAACTGCAACTGAAGATTCAAATCCAAACTGGTGTGCTGAAAATGAACCGAAGGCTTGTGGCAATGACAGATAGTAATGGTTGCAAAAGAGTAATTGGATGGCTGAGGAAAAGAAGGTAGCACACATAATGATTTGATTGACAATAAAACAATGACATCACTCACAGAAAACAAAACAAATTTTATGATCTTAAAACAACAGGCAAGAAACAGGTCTGAACTGAAGTTACAGTAAAAGTATTCATTAAACTCAAACAAGTACCATAACGAGTACAGTAATGAGAGTAAAAGGTAATTTGTTATTTTCCACTTCTGGCTAGAACTACAGCCACAAGTATCATTTCAAAGTTATCATTTTAATTTTCAACACAGCATTCTCAGAACAAAAAGGGTACTAAACCATACTTCAGAAAGAATGTCAGTAAACTTCTATCAGAAGGAAAATGAGAGAGAGAGAGAGAGAGAGAGAGAGAGAGAGGTGAATGAGAGTGGATCTATGGGTGTAGTGAGTAGTAAAATAAAAAACATAGAAAGTAAAGACTCACCAGCTGTGAAAAAGAAGAGGAGGATCACTGAGACGTTTCTCATCCTGACGGCTCAAACTAGATTAATAATCGATGTTTGGCCAGAAACACATCTGCATAGGACTTAAGTCAGTGAACTGAAGACGATTGCTCCTTCTGTTTAAACTGTCCAGAGACTCGTACCTGCTCAGGCCTGTCTCAGAGTGACTGCATCATTGAGTGTGTTATGTGGAAGAAGTTGAGCAATATGTCACTTACATGGTGCAAGATACACAGAATAACACAGCAAGAGTAGATTAGTCCTCTTGATTGTCTCTTCCTCAGTCACTTTCTTTGCATTCTGTTTTTACTTGCATATTTATGTTTCCCCTACTTACTATTTGCTTGTTTTTAAATTGGGGTACAGTTAAAGCTCAATGATAAGTCAAAAGGTTTTCCTGAAATATAATATATCTAATGTTTATTTTACATTGTATTCTTACATATTGTTGTGTAATTTTAAGCCATCTTCTCTAAAGGCCTTCATTAACAGTGCTCTTTAAAAAGTGATGCATAATTACAACTTTTCCTTCTTTCTATTCTTCTTACTATTAGGTCTTGGATTGTTGTGTATGGTTTTGTTGGCTTTTCTTTAGATTTTAATGAGGTTTATGTCAAATAAGATTCTTTTTATGTTATCCTCTTTAAAAAGGTTTGAGAATTACTCGAGCAGCCAGTTGAAACCAAGACCCAAAAGATACAATAGTCCTAGTGGAGTTTGACTGGCCTTCTTGTTTGGATAATCTGGCCCCAGAACTCCTAATGGCCATATAGTTTGTTCTGAGATCTTCCTCTGACTGTGATTCGTCCTAATCAGCATGGCCAGTTCATTGTTTGTTTGATTTCTTCTTTTTTGTCTGCTTTATTTTCTCAGTAACTCTTGACAGGTACACATCATCAGACAATAATGTTGGCAACCTAACTGAACTTAGCAAAGAATAGCAAACACTGATTGTGGGAGGTGAACCGGCACCGTGGTCATACTTTGACAGTGTTCCTCTAGACATTTACCATTTAATCTAGACCCATATCATTTGCATATCTCCACAATCATTCAGTGGATGATCCCATCCCACTCATGTGGCACACTGCTCTAAAACACCTGGAAAAGAAAAATACCTATGTCAAGATGCATTTAACACACTGGTGTTACAACTGAGAAGCCTGGATTGGTGCAGCTCCATTTGAAACTGGGAATTGGAGTTTCTTACAATCAGACAGCAGATACTGAGAATTGGAAACATGTAATTGGAAACTGCCTCTAATCATGGGACCTCCCCAGGGGAGCTGCCTCAGCCCCCTGTTTTACAGCTTGTTCACCTATAACTGTGTGGTCAAACAAACACGATCTCTCAGTTTAGCATTTCAGTAATAAACTGGTCCTGAATGTCTCACCCACCTGGACAATAGAGACACCTATGTCAGAATGCTGTTCATATACTTCAGTTCAGCATTCAACACCATCACCCCTCAGCACTTGATTGGAAAACTGAGCCTGCTGGGCCTGAACACCTCCCACTGTAACTGCATCCTGGATTTCCTGATTGAGAGACCTCAGTTAGTCAAAATCGGTAACATCTCCAGCACCACCATACTGAGCACCGGCGCCCCTCATGGCTGTGTGCTTAGTCCACTGCTGTTCACTTTGCTGACTGACAACTGTACTGCAAAATACATTCCTCATCATCAAGTTCGCTGATGACACAATTGTGTTGGGCCTGATCAGCAAGAACGATGAGTCAGCATACAGGGAGGAGGTGCAGCGGCTAACAGACTGGTGCGGAACCAACAACCTGTCTCTGAATGTGGACAAAACTAAGGACATGGTTGTTGACTTCCGAAGAGTGTGAGATAACCATCCCCCACTGAACATCACTGGCTCTGCTTTGGAAATTCTCAGGAGCACCAAGTTCCTCGGTGTCCACATCACAGAGAACCTCACCTGGTTCCTCAACACCAAGTCCATAGCCAAGAGGGCCCTGCAGCGCCTCTACTTCCTGCAGAGATTGAACAAAGCTCACCTCCCCCCTCCCATCCTCACCATGTTCTACAGGGGGACTGTGGAGAGCATCCTGAGCAGGCCCTCCAGCGAATAGTGAGGACAGCTGAGAAGATTATTGGGGTCTCTCCCCTCAAATCATGGACATTTACACCACATGCTGCATCCGCAAAGCCACCAGCATTGTGGACGACCCCATCCATCCTTCACACTGACTTTTTTCACTGCTGCCATCTGGCAGAAGGTACCAGAGCATCCGTGCCATCACTGCCATCACTGCCAGACTCTGCAACAGTTTTGTTCCGCCAGCAATCAGGTTTTTAAACTCACAAGGACTGAACTGAAAACCCCCTCACACATATACTTTATACACACACACACTCCTCTTTTGATGCTCTACTTGCATCTGGAACATTGCTGCTAATACTGAAGTACTGCATATCCTACCTCAGGAACTGCTGTGCTCACGTATGTTATAATATGCGTATACCTACATATCACAGCATGTTAAATATCTTTGCACCTCATTCTCACTACCTTATGCTCATAAATCACTGCTGTGTTGGAGCTGCACTGTCCTGTCTGTTTATTGTGTCTAATGTCGGTTTTATTTATTGTATTTATTGTACTGTTTCTAGTTTAATGTTTTGCACACTTACAACTGCACATTTGCACTTTGCTGTACTGTCTATTTTGTTCCATGTAGCACCGAGTTGTTCCTGGAGCAACAAACGTTAGCTCCACTGTGCACTTGTACACAAATGGAATGACAATAAAAGCCTCTTGACTTGACTTGACTTGACTTGGATCATCTGAAACAAATGTGACAAATGAGCAAAACTAGAAGTCTATTTCTATTTCTATTTATAATCTTTTTCACAGCACTGTACATACTAAAATACAGAGAGAGATTCTTTATGAAAAGCACAGCTCTTTTGCCTCATATACCAAATCTGAAGTAGGAAACCTGGGTGTAATCTTCAGAGCTGTTTTATTGCATGTGTAAACACAGTCACTAAAGTAGCTTTTGGGAAGTAGCTTTTTGCTAAAGTTCGGCCTTTTCTGTCTCAGAGTGACGCAGAGAAACTTGGTCATGCATTTGTTACACTGCGTTCAGAAACCACTGAACAGCTGAATAAGGAAGGGAAGATTTGGGTTGGAGGTGAATCCTGCAGAAAGGCAGATCTGCAGGAGGAGGGTTTGGTACCATTAGTGTACATGCTTAAAAGTGGTGGTTCTCCAAAGGCTCCTTAGTAAAGAAAATGGTTCTATATAGAACCATGAACACTCAAAGAACCCTTTGCATGATTAAAGCGTCCTTTGCATGGTGATGGTATTCTTTAGTTTGATGGAGAATGTGTTGATATGGTTCTATATAGAACCATTGGAAAAGGGTTCCAATCTAACACCAAAAAGGGTTCTTCCATTGTTACAAGCTTGGCATTGTAACAATAGAAGAGCCCTTTTTGGTGCTATATAGAACCCTTTTCTTATTAACTCTTCTAAAGCAAAAGACGTGGGAATAATGCACAACTAAATAAGTAGGCCATGAACTGCATTTACGCCTTTGTCAGACAGACTTTACACACCAGCATGATTACAAATAGGAGTTAGATTGCGACACAGAGTCTGAGCGTTCTGTGGAAGAAGTTGGGCAACATGTCGCTTACGTGGTGCAAGACACACACAAAAACCAAGTCACCAAGAACAGATCAGTGCTGTCAATAGTCTTTTCTGTGTTTCTTTAATTGGTTTTTATTTACTTGCTTATTTATCTTTCTCCTGCTTAGCTTTTTAAAACTGCAGTACAGTAAAATCCCAACAGTCAGACAAGTGAACCAGTTTTCTGTATTTTTATTTGAAATTGTATTACAGTATGTTATGTTATTTTAAGCACAGTCAATTGTGCTCTTTAAAAAGTGACACATAATTTACAACATTATCTTCCACTTTTTCTTCTTATTGCTATTAGGCACTGTATTGTTCTGTACAGTTTTGATGGCTGTTTGATTTCAGTGAGGGTTATACATGTAGGACTATTCATGTTATTGTTCTGAGAGTTGACAAATATGTCCTTATTTGCCAGCACTGCTTAGAGGAGTTTTTTTACCTAAATCATACCAAGAGATATCAGCAATGAAGTGAAAAGACTGCCACGTTATGGTATATGGTCTCATATCCAGTCTCCTCAAAAATATCTTCTGAAACATCAGTTTCTTTCCATTTGGACTGGAAATTAGGTAAGTGATGGCTGGTATCTGACTTTTGCACAGTACCATATATATTATAAATTAGAGTGTATAAATTAACACTTAGTGCCTTTCAAAAGTACTGGGACAATCAAAACTGATGAAAGTGATAAAATTACTTTCCTTGATTTAGAATGTTTGCATCATTTCCACACAATAGAATATATTATATCAAAACAATTCTTGCCACTTACAAATAAATGCAACAAAAAAGTTTATTTTAGAGATTTTTTGAAACTAGTAATTACATTGTAAGCTGCATGGTTTGTCGTTAGGGTGGAAAGTGAGCTACACATGCAGCAAAGGGTTGTTTGCAGAGCAGTCATTATTCTAAATGTTATATCATTGATAGCTTTTATCGTAGAATCACTACCTTTTTGATTTCCCCGCCTTTTACTTGGTTTCAAATGTGAGCACCGGCGCCCCTCATGGCTGTGTGCTTAGTCCACTGCTGTTCACTTTGCTTACTGACAACTGTACTGCAAAATACATTCCTCATCATCAAGTTCGCTGATGACACAATTGTGTTGGGCCTGATCAGCAAGAACGATGAGTCAGCATACAGGGAGGAGGTGCAGTGGCTAACAGACTGGTGCGGAACCAACAACCTGTCTCTGAATGTGGACAAAACTAAGGACATGGTTGTTGACTTCAGAAGAGTGTGAGATGACCATCCCCCACTGAACATCACTGGCTCTGCTTTGGAAATTCTCTGGAGCACCAAGTTCCTCGGTGTCCACATCACAGAGAACCTCACCTGGTTCCTCAACACCAACTCCATAGCCAAGAGGGCCCTGCAGTGCCTCTACTTCCTGCAGAGATTGAACAAAGCTCACCTCCCCCCTCCCATCCTCACCATGTTCTACAGGGGGACTGTGGAGAGCATCCTGAGCAGCTGC